CACAAAGACTACATTTTCCTTGGAGGCCTTGATAATCTCTCTTAAAGGCAACACCCTTTCTCCTCATATTGTTGAGGAAAACAGACTTCAGGCAGAAAAACAATATTCCCTGGCATAAGCAGGGAATACCTCTTCCAGGACAGAAAGAAATTCAAAACTGCAGATATGCAGGGACAACAGAAGTATGTAGCTTTGATATAAAGAGACATAATGACAATATAGAACAAATTAAGTACAAAGACAATCAAAGATTATGAATCAAACAGGAAGTCAAACTCCTCTGTTCTTTGTGTACTAACTAGTATATAGTACAAACAAACCTGAGTTCAAACTCCCCTTCTATCTAAACACTTCCCTAACACAAACATGTAACAATAACTTTCTAACATACATAACCAGGTCCCGGCCCATCTATAGAAATAAAACTGTCATCAATGGAGACGTGCAGCGGGCTCTGTAAAGCTTCAGATTGTTCGAGGCTCTGCCCACAGTGGTCTGTTTATCCAGCTGTCGATCTGAATAAATCCACTTGGCTGGAGGCAAGGAAAGACTTGGTGGTGAAAAAACACATTGTACTCTAGTGGATGAGACAGAGGCAAACTGTAATGTGTCAGGCTCTGGCAGTCTCTTTAATGAATAAGCCTGAAACTGACACATGAAGAAAAACACTTAAAGCTACATGAAGGAAACATGGGACCAACGGTTCAATTGACAAACAGACTTAAATATCAAATGGCAAAGGACAAAGAGCGGGACAGTGAAGTCTCTCCTGTTGTTAAGAAGTGAAACCAAAAGGAGACAAGATGATGTTCAGTCATGATGGAGAATCAATAAGTAATCCACGTGGATTACTCCAAAGGCACAAGGTGCTCTGGTAACAAGTCCTGGCTGCAGAATAAACTGAACATAGTCAGAATAAGACTGTCATACAAAACTATGGGCCTGGAGGCTTTGTGTTCACAGAAATCTCATGAAGTACATCCAATACAGAACTGAATAGTTTATACAAGATGCATTTATCAATTATTATTATGGCATTCTTGGAAGCTAATCGAGAGCTTAAGTGGATCTCTTCCAACTTATACATTTCTTCTGGGCTTTGCCAAGTAAAGTTCATTTCGCTTGAGTGAAGTAAAACATGCATGGGTGGAAAATACAACATAATATATATTTGTGTCATATGTTACATTCCTTTAGAGTCTGGAAAGATGTTAAGAGAGCAGCATATTTGTGAGATGTATACATGCAAGTATTTTCATGTCCCATCTGGGAGAGACGAAATAGCTTTAAATAATGTTATAATTACGTGATATAAATAAATTAGGTAATTACTTTTTTTTATTTTATTGACCCTTCCTAAATCCTGTCCATTTCGCTCAGTGCTACAATAACAGTAAATCAAACTTGGTATCAGGTGAACACTCGTGAAGACGGCTTTAAGATGTATCCGAGGGACTGTAAAAAGCAGTGTGTCGAAAGTGTTTTGTTTGAAACATTTGCAAAAATGAGTTTTTCCTAATCTGAAGAGTGGATCAAGGGGTGTGCTGTAGACCTTCTTGTTGGCTAAACAACAACAACATCATCACCACAAAACCGGCTTCTGTTAATGGCTAACATATAAACAGTATGTGAAGTCTCTTTACATTTTCGTCCCAATCTTTACAGACGGATTACATTGCTTTGGGTATCATCACTTATGTTAGCAAAACGCTAGCTAATTTTGAATCTAGAGGAGTTGGTCTGATGTTAAAACATGTCAGCCAGGCTCCCTTTAGTCTTTGGTGCGTTCAAGAGATTTGGTTTCGGACATATTTGATTCAATTCAATAAATTAACGCTTATGATATGGCTCAAAAATGTGAACAATTAGCTTATTCTTGTTTTCTTTTCCTGCTCAGCGATTCTTATCTCAAAGTTCCAGGCTTAAAAAGGGACAAACTTCAAATGTAAACTTTTTAGATCTTATGTGAAGAAAGCTTCAGCAACTGGAAAACCAATTTCTAAACTTAATGAGAAACTTTTAGTTTACTGCCTAGTTGAAAATAAATGAAAGTTTACTAGCATATTCTTTATTGGGGGAGAAGAAAATGCAACATGTGCAAAGCTTGTGGCGGTTTCTACAGGGCAGATCTGTTAAAAACTGCCCTTACGAGAATGTTGAGCGATTTCTAGTTTGGCAGATAGCTTAACAATGTCTTTAATAAACACGGCACACACATACATCCTTCAAAATCCTTTGAATTAAGGATTCAGGCCTTGGTAGAATTTGAAGGATACTCTACATTAGAATAGTGGTGGGATTCGATGACGTGACATCCCACCGCAGGAATTTGGTTGTTTAGGGACCCATACTTGACAGTGACAAACACTCTCTGTCTGGCTACGTGCAACCCTGAAGTAACTTTTGCTGTTATTTATTTGGATATACACAATGTCTTACTTCCCGACGGGAATGTCAAAGTTCTTCCTGTCGGCTTCTTGAAAGTGTATTGCTTCAGGCATCGGGCGAAACAGGACCACAAGTGACGGAGTTGCCATGATTTTTTGTCAAGCTTTTCCAACCTAGCAACGGTAACTAGAGTGTGTGTGGGTGGGGGGGTTACTTTGTTGTTGGATTGGCTACACATCCCTCTTACAGTACGTACTGTTGGAGCCAGAGGAGCATGTCAGGGTGACTCACAGCAGTAAAGAGTGTAAGGAGCTCTGCTCTGTGGGAGCAGATGAGCAGCATGCTTTAATGTGCCTCTGGGTTTCAGAGGCTGACTCAGCAGCAATGAGATATAAATGAGATGTTGGGTAATTTAGATTGTTGTGGGAGGGAGCAAGTGAGGAGGGGGAACAGGAAAGGAGACAGAAAGGAAGCAGTGGAAAAGGTGGGGAAACACCAGCTGTTAGTCAAGGTGATGTATGAGGGAGGACACAGCTGTCCTCTTGAAATGTCTCCTCCCTCTCCATCACGGTCTCCTCATTACATGTTAGACGCTTTTATCCAAAGCAACTTACATACTCAATACTGTGGGCAATCCCCACAGGAGCAATTCTCCCTTCTTCCCTCTCTATACTCCCCCTCTGAAACTGGATGTGTGTCCCTAGTTGAGGCTGTAAGGCCCTGCACATAAATGGTAAACCCACACAGGGCAGTTTAATCATTTTCTCTTGATGAGGGCTCTTCACAGAGCTGTGTGGGTGTGTACAGACGGTGGTTGATTGACACCTCACTGTGAACAATACCTCTGAAACCTTTGTCTTTCTTATTACCAAAGAGGTATTACAATTACTATTAAAGTTAAAATATCTTATCTGCAGCATCACATTGTTCAAAACTTGATAAGGCATTACAAATCTAGTTTATACTATATATAGTTTATAAACATAACATTGAAAGTAAACAGAACAGCCCAATTTTGACCAATACATGCATCCCTAGCACCTGGTTTTAAGTGTGCTTGAGGCCTAAACAGACAGAGGGTCTGAATAAATGTGAGAGCAGTTTACCTGACCTTTCTTGCAGCAGGTGTGTTCAACATCACTAATTGCTGAAACGATTCATGCATGCCAGTTTCAGGGCTCTGGTGATGCACATGCTGTATCACTGGCACGGCTAAATGACACACTTAAAAAGGAAAACAGCATCATCAACGTTATAAGTTACATCTGGGATTTACCCGCTGTAGAAGGTTCAACTATCTGCTGTAAAAAGGCCTTAAAGCACTGCAAATAAAACCAAGAGTAGGAAGTTGGCACAGTCAGTTCAAACTTCAGGGCTCTGACACATTCAGTGCCAGCTTCTTCAGAAACACAGACATACGATTGGTTTGGACACACTGGAAAGATAGATACATGTGTCGAGGATCCAACCCTCACCTCTACACCAGGTTCAGCTCCTCTGCTGTTCCTGTACTTCCTATACATTCTCTCTCTCTCCTCAGTGAAAAGGCTTTTGTTTACCATTTATGAAATACACCAGACCTGAGCGTGTGTGTGCGCTTCACTTAATATTTCTCGAGGAGTGCATTTGGGAGACAGTTCGTCTCCAAGCGAGTGTGTGTGTGTGTGTGTGTGTGTGTGTGTGTGTGTGTGTGTGTGTGTGTGTGTGTGTAGTAGCATCTACACACACACACACATATGCCTGGCATATTTCAAATATGAAAGTGCATTTCAGCTAAGAAGTGGGAAGTGATTTATAAAAGGCTTTAGGGAAAGGCTTTCCACTGGAGGGTAGAGAAAGCCATGGCAGAGTAACTCTTCAGAGATGGAGAGTGGGACGGTGCTGCTGAACCTAATGTAAAAGACAGCAGAGCAATCGGTGCGGCTGCATATCTTAGTGGCAGATCAGAATACAGTAGCTCAACCTCGTGCTTCCTAGATGCTCCTTGAGGTTTTATAATATAAGATAAAGAATCCGATGGATACAATGGCATTGTTTTAATTCCCACAAATGTGTGGTTACCAATTGTTAAACAGATGCTATTATATGACAATATACTTTGTTTCATGATAACGTGCTGAGCTCAGCTCTCTGTTGTGAACATAACCTGCTATTGAGTATATCATTAAATAAAGCAGTGGAAATGAGTAAGTTATATATGTTTATGTCTTTGTTTTGTTGCTCTAAAGTCATGATAACTAAATGACATGAGTGGCAGGGGTTCATATTCTACATTAATTTCAGCTTGGTGGCAATTACAGTTTACAATTTAAGGACATCAATGGCACCAAAGATTATTTATTATTCTTAAGGTAAGACAACGAGACTTTGGAAACAACAACTGAGGTTTTAGATTTACATGATTTCCTTTAGGCCGTCTATATACATTTGGAAAAATACAAACGTACAGTAAAATAATCCTAACATTTCTCTTCTAATGAAATGAAAAGAGAGTAAAAATATGTGTCAATAAAAGCCAAATTCAAAAACTCAATTATTACGCTACAGTGTCTCTGCTGGTAGAAAAAAGCTAATTCTGGTTCTTTCTTTGTGAAGTTTGGGTAGTGTTGTACCTGGCATGAGTTGCTGTCCACTGATCCCGATGGGAGGCATCCCCAGGTTGTTCATGGCTGTCGCCCAGGCGTTGGGGTCGGACATGGGCATCGTCATCGATCCATTGGAGTCCATTGTCATGTTACAGATCCCCTCTGCAGAAAGAAGGGGGCAAGAGAGAAGGGTCAGTCTCATTCCTGTCGGCTATAAATCACCATGATAGAGGGTCATGCCAGAAGAGGAATCGTTTTAAGGTTCAACACTGAGGTAGAAGATTTTTTTCCACCAGCATGTTGCTGTCATGGCATCTCCAGCCGCCTCCTCTCTATAAATCCTCGTTTCATTTTCTGTCCTGTCTGAGGAGAGAGGAGAGCAGAGCGTTCTGTGACCCAGCAGTCAGTCTGACAGCACAATGACTTCAACAACACTGTAATTAAGAATCTTTTCATCATGTTGTTGCTGTTTGTTCAGTTTTTGCACAGAGGTTAAAAAGCCTAGCCTCTTGACACTTCCAGTCTCCGTGTCCTGCACTGGAAGTCCATTCCAAATGCTTTGTTTATGACAAAAATATCGCAATCTTGCTTAACACAAGCAGATAAAAAAATAGCAGAGCATTCAGATATCTACACAAAAACACCAATGAAACATCTGAGCCAAACAATAACACCGTAAAAAACAAGATTATCCTGGCACTAAACACAAATCCTGACGCTATCATGCATTTGCCAAGAGCTCTGCTACTAAACCTGGGAGAAATCTCCAACTTAACATGACAAATAAACTCACATCACCTCAAACACACAACCCCAGACTCATGGTTTTCTGCCAAGTGTTGCATAATAAATCAAACACATTAGATCCCCATCATAAAGACCCTGCAGTAAAGTCAACAGGAACGCATCCTACATCCACCAGCGGCTCATTCTCCCGTCTGCTGTCTATTTCACAGCTCTAAATGCTCTTTAATTCTCTCCTCCGGTCGCCCTCTTTCTCTCTGACAGACCTGTAAATTGCCCTGACTAGCTGGCTGAGCCAAGCTGCCCTCATCTTTCCTGATGCCAAAGCCAACATCAATGTTAATAATGAGAAGCGCTGCACCCTGCACACACTTCACACCTCAGAAGGTCTGTGGCAGGGCCCACTGTGGAGGCAACGCTCGGCTCTGTGTATAACCGTGTGTGTCTGTCTGCACAACATCTCCTCCACTGGTATTCCTGGTGTTCAGACACAGCTGGCAGAGTGTTATAATGTTGTTTGCCTCTCTGCCTCCCTCTCTGAGCTGCTAATTTTGGAGCTGCATGCTGTCACTGCTGTGGAGAGGCCTGATAAAAGAGCCTGTGTGTTTGTCGCTGTGATAATGCTGCTGATGAGGACTTCGAGGGCTGGTAAACTACCTCAACCCTATTAACTGGGGACAGTTTGGAGGACTTATAATGAGGGAGCGGAGGAGTGGTGGCGAGCTGCTTTATAGCAGTTTTATTTCCGTTTACAGTACATTAACTGCCGTCACTGCAGTGCTTTAGGGATACACTCACTCAGCGTTTGACTGTTGAGTCCTTGCTTGGTTTAACAAATAATGATGAGACGGGCAAACAAAACAATATGTTGTGGATATCATGAATAATGACATCTCATTTTAACATGATCTGGGATTTGGTCATTGGAATATTGAGATACATCTGAAATGTGGACTTTTTTAGGACCTAAAAGTAGTTCCTGTCATTGAGAAAGGCTTCTTTAATCTTCAATAAAAACAATATCAGAATCAGGGCTGAAAGGTAACTCTTTTTTTCATCAATGAAAATTATTATATGATAAAGTTATACATTTGTGATTTAGTTTCTTGGATATCAATAAACAGTGAAAACAGTGCATCAAATATCCCATGGCGCTAATTGTTTGTGTTTGGACCACTACAAAAATATTCAGTTTACAGTGATATAAAAACTTTACCAAGGTGGATCCGTCAACATAGGTATTTTTCTTTGATTGCTTGACCTGTTATCAATAATGTTGCCTAATCATTTTGGTTTTATAAACATTTTGTTTCCATCGATCCATCTTCTCCCGCTTATCCGTGGTCGGGTCGCGGGGGTAGCAGTTCCAGCAGAGAGCCCCAAACTTTCACCTTACCCCTAAGGGAGACGCCAGCCACCCTGCGGAGAAAACCCATCTCGGCCGCTTGTATCCGCGATCTGGTTCTTTCGGTCGTTACCCTCACCTATGGTCACATTTTGTTTCAGTTGAGTCAATTTCCCACTGGGCCCACCTAGTTATTTAACCAATAAATACTTTATCAATTGATTTTCCTCGAAAAGGATCTCTATCAGGATATATCCATATTGATTTATTGGCGCAAGTCACATGTTTGATAAACCATATAGATTACCACAACTGATTTTGTCCTATAACAATAATGTATATTACAATAACAACAGTTATTCACAGAACTCTATCCTGGAAAAATATGATTCTGCTATTTAGAAAAAACAAAATGTCCATGTGTCTTCCTGTTTAATCTATCAAATTGGGAGTCAATAGACGAGCAGGAATTGGCCTTTGATGGGAAATCAGTGTAGGTCAATGGCCTTACAAAGACATTTCAGCAGAAGTAGTTCCTGTCCGTCACTGGAGGGCAGAGTTCTTATGTAAAGACTCCCATTCAAAGCCCACCACACTTGACTGTACAGTAAGTTTTGGGACACGTACACTCCTCTGCAATGGCCTTCAGACGCTGCTGATGACCATCGTGCACCCTTCACTTCCTCCTTCTGCCCCCGTGCTCTCACATTCATTAAGTGCATCTTATTCCCTTGTCTCCCTCTTTCTCTGTTTCTTTCTTTCTTGCCCGTCCTACATCGACTCAACTGCCATCCATTGTCTCGTTTTTTTTGCCAGCGCACACAAACGCTCTATTTCCTCCATGAATCAATTAAACTTTTCAGTCTTGCAGCTCTGTGCATCAATCACTGAGGGCTTTTGATTTCAGTCTGGCAAAGTGACGTTGAGGGCAGGAGTCAGCCTTGGCTCCCCTTAAAGGAACCATCCTATACAATCATGTCAATATATATAGAGCTGAGGGAAGAATAGCAAACAGCTGCTAAGAAACCAACAGGGATACGAGCTCACACACACACACACACACACACACACACACACACACACACACACACACACACACACACACACACACACACACACACACACAGTTAACCTTGCCTGAGGGGGAATAGGAGCTAGGAACAATACAATGAGGGATAAAGGTTGGTAAATATGTTTGAAATAAAATCATGGACTAGAGCAGGGGTCCCCAACCTTTATTGTGCCAAGGAACGGCAGATACATTAAAAAAAATGTGCGGACCGGTTGTCAATTCTGTCAATTTGATTCTGATTGTCTGATTTGAATATTTACTCACCAGCAGGTGGCAACAGAGGCTGATTGTATTTAACAGCCTGAAGAAATACCAATATGCATCCAAAACATATTAACAACGTTTAAAACCAGGATACAATTAAAACAAAAAATTAGGACCGCTTTACAAATATGAATATAATATATCATATAGCCTAATATAGGTGGCAACAGTGGCTAATTGTATGTAACAGCCTGAACAAATAATAGAACAATATGCATCCAAAACATATTAACACAGTTTAAAACCAGGATACAATTAAAACAAATTAGGACCACTGTACACATATTGATATAACTGAAATGTCAGTGAGACCCCTGGGCTTGTTTGCCAGCAATAATAACGTCATACCGGGGCGTTCGTTCCGGTGCACTCCGACAGCATTTAGCACTACATCGAGATTAAGATTAAACTAACTTATTTTGGGAACACCCACATACCTATGGAGTTGGCCAGATGTGTGTAAATTACTGTTCATGGTAATTTGAAAACAAAAGCCGTTGTTGGACACACACAAACACACCAAACACACACACACACAGCGGAGCTGAGCAGAACACATACACACACACATCATGCACCTTTGTGACCGGACATTTCCTCCATACAACGAGTAATAGGGGGAATAATCGGGCCGTTCGATGTGTGTGTGTGTAGAGGTGTGTGTGGTTGAAACGTAGCAGCCTGCAGTGGGGAACACAGTGAAGGCGGTGTGTATGCGCTGGTGCTGCACTTCTCAGAGGCTGCCTCCTGATGTTGCAGCCATTTCATGAAGTGAAGGAGGCTTTACAAATAAAAAAATAGCTCTACACCCCTGGCCTCAATGTCCTTAAAATTAAGCCGAGTTCAAAATATATCTAAAATAATGTATGCACTGCCATTCTCCCACAAACATAACAGTCTGCGATTAAACGGTTGTCTCCTGTGTGCTCCACTTCCTATTGGCGCACCACCTGTAACTTTCTCTGCGCACGAGAGGCTTAGACCTTATGCTAACCAATTTTGATTTATTTTGTATGTTTTGGATGAAATAATATGACTGGTATAAAATAAAATAAAAAAAGATTTTTTTTGATAAAAGATTTTTATATATTTATAATTCTGCAAATATTACGATAAACCCACAGCTATTTCGCGGCCCGGCCCGGCAGTAACACCTCTGCGGCCCGGTACCGGTCCGCGGACCGGGGGTTGGGGACCCCTGGACTAGAGCACTCCGCTTTGCTGTTTTGAAGGCAACTGTCTGACAGGATTGATAAGTACCTCGTTGAATCCCATCATTTACCTGTGTATTGCAAGGTCAAATGATAAAACAAAATAAAAATTAATGGTGATGAGATGACAATAAGACTTATAATCAGCTTATGGCTCTATTTACCTCAAGATCATGCTACTCCATGTCCAAATATAGTAACAGAACAATCTAGTTATATGTACACCTCATGACTAAACACTTTAGAGGCAAGCTTGAAGTCTGGGTAAGCCTGTAGCCAACTATTTCGATAATTTATCAGTAGTTTGAATGGACTTTTCAAAGAAATATGCACTCAATTATGTGGTTCTATTTTTAAAATGTGAATATGATCAAGTGTTTTTCTTTGTTCCTTGTATGATATTAACTTTGCATTGTTTGTGCCTTGAGAAAAAAGTTCTTTGTTTGGAAATTGTGATGGACATATCATTTCTAACTCCACACCGGACCACCATGAGACACCCTTCAGTGTATTTTGCCCATGGCAATTAAAGCGATAGTGTTTTTGATTCAGTCGGGGCCCACACCAGCCCGAGGCGTTCCTGATACTCCCTCTCTGCGGGCTGTGACTGGCTTTTAGCTCCCCTAAAAGCTCCCCCAGGAGGCAGATAGGAAATTAAGTCATTTTAAGGCCCATTGGCCGTAAGCCCCAACAGCAGGCAGAGAGACGCCGGGGGCCGTTTAGTCTAAAATGCACAAGGTTTTAACAGCTAACTACAAGTTTATTACAGCCCCTAGAGAGAGAATTAAAGACACAGCTGAAAAGATGAGGGATGGAGACAAATAGACAAATAATAAAAGGTTATTTTTGTATCGACAGATGTGATACTGACGAGACAAAATTACAAAAACAATAGCGAGATATAAAATAGAAGCTACCTCAAATTAAACTTTGAACATTGCAGCAATGAATAAAGTGCGGCAACTTGATGATAGTCATTAGCACAGAGTAGGAATTTTAAAAACCTACAATTAGTGCGTAATATAATGTCAACACCGCACAGAAAGTGGCTCAGCAGATGGATGAGCGCAATTAAGTTTCAGTACATGTCTTCCAACCAAAGAAAATCTAAATAATTGTTGCTGAATGGTTTCTGATTCTGAGTCTGAGAAACATTATTGGAGGAGAAGTATGCCATTTTCCATCTGGGATGATATGTGAAGAGCTTTTTCTAATGCAATGAAAGCATTTTATGGAAGAATTGCCTTCGGTGCACATTTGCCTATTTGACCTTAGAGCTGAATGCAGCTTTGTTTGTGTAAGTATGTATCTGAGCGGGAAGGTACATCAGAAGAGGCCTTCAGGGTCATCTTGGAAAATAATGATCATGACAAAGTGAGAAAAAAGCTTGAGCAAATCCAAATAAGATAAGTGGAAAACATTAATCAGAGAACAATTTCTACAATTTAATCTGTGATGAAATATCTAATCCTACTGTAACTAGCGAAATGTGCTCTTAATAACACTTCAATTACTTATGTCTCACACACACACACGTCTCACACACACACTTTAATAATGTATGAGTGCCCTTCTCTCCGCTTCTTTGATCTGTTAATTATGATAAAACTGGTAAGGGTCTGGTGATTAGCGATGGCACAGTGAAGAGTGCCCTGAGTGTTATATTACACCACATCTCATTTAGGACCAGAAGAGAGAAGACAACAAAGTGAAGATGTAAGGATGACAGAAGAAGCCTGAAGAGAGCCCGGCCTCATGGGACTTTTGAAAAAAGGTTTTAACTTGGGAGAAATTCCCTCTGTGCCACTTCTCTCTCAATCACCTCGATATATTCTGATGAATAAATATGTTAATAAGTATGGAGTTCACAGAGTTTGACAAGGACTGCTTTAGAATGCAGATCCTGCCAAGAAGGAGACGGCTGCTGACCACACGTAACACCTCATCATCTACTGCGTTGGTTATTACTGTGGTAGAAAAACAGCTTGCAAAGTGTGTCTTTCTGAATGTTAAATGTCGTTGAATGATTAGTAAATGTGGTCAATAAGACAATATTTATTTGAAAATAATTGTAATGGTCTACCACCAGACAGCTCCTTCAGCGACAGGCTGCTGCACCCCAGCTGTCACACGGAGAGATACCGCAGGTCCTTCCTTCCTGCAGCGGTCAGACTATACAACCAGCACAGCCCCTAGCAGACCCCCCCTCCCCTGCACACACCACAACACAGACTATATCACCCCTTGCTGCTAAATACCAATCAACTATGTGCAATATGTGCAATATATATATATGCCGTTAATAACTGTGTAATTTATAACTGGCTGCTAAATCCTTAGAACCGTTACAAGGTGTGTTTTTTTTTGCATTTTGTATCTTGTAAATTGTGTAACTTGGTGCAGTTAAATACCATCAAACTATGTGCAATATGTGCTATATGTGCAATATATACATTATACACATATGCCATTAATAACTGTGTAATATATACCTGGCTGCTAAATCCTAAGAACTGTTACAGGATTTGTATTTTGGAAAGTATTTTTCTTTTACTTTTATTTTTTACATTATATTTTTATTATATCATAACTTAGTACTTTTTTCTTAACATAGGTAACATTAAGCTGTCTGTGGCTCTTTCCTGCTGTAACGATGCACATTTCCCCTCGGTGGGACTAATAAAGGTATTCTGTTTCTGAAACTGTTTACTCCTTTAATACCAAGGGCGTATTGGGCCTATATCGAGGATCAGATTTGACCATAATTCTTTTACATCAAAGTGATTACTTTTTGATACATTAGATACATGTATCGTAAAGTGGTAAAAACAATCCTCTGATCTAGTTATTTTACCCATAAACTGATATCGCAGAAAAAGATGTATGAGGACATTAATTGATATTGCGATATATAAAAACTATGGTATGCCTGTGACACAAGATTTTCATCAACATAACTACACTGTAGCTATGTTTGTTTGACAAGTAAAGAACCTTGAACTACTTTACTAATTATCTTAGTTACTACATGGCACTTATTCAGGAAGACCATTTTCAACAACTACGAGGCCATTAACTATGATTTATTTCTAAGTAAACTCCCAATGACTGCTTGTTGATAATAAGTAAGGAAGTTGTTCTGAGTATAACTTAGTATTAAGATTGTATCGTGCTGTATTTAGTAAGGACCTCATAAGGTTGTAGTGCATGAGTGGCAGCGTCCAGGGCTGAGAAATGAAGCAGTAGTTGCAGCAGTAGAGTGCCATAATGGATTTACTAAGTGTGAAGAGAAGGCAACTGGAAACCTGTGTGGGTTAATAAGTGTCAAACCTCTTATGAATTAGTTATGAGCAAAGATCTCACTGTAGAATTATTTTTAACAGGCAACAGTTTTAGTTTTGTTTCATGAAAAATGACCACATTTAAGTGTTTTAAAGGAGAATGACTATACTTATGGTACTACCTCTTAATAAGGCCCATATTGAGCAAAGCATATTATATTTTATTTACAAAACGTCCTTACTTATTATCAGTGAGCAGCTTTTAGGGGGTATTGAAGGAAAACTATTAGTTAATGGTCTAGTAGCTGTTAAATATCATAAGGCAGATACGGCATTGACAGCATGATTTATAACAAATATAAAGCCAATGTGCCTTCGTATAAGCAATTAGTTAATGGTGAATATGTAACTTACTATAAAGTGTTACCGCTTATATCAGGGGTGTCAAACTCAATTTCATTGCGGGCCACATTCACATTATGGTTGCTCTCAAAAGGCCGGTTGTAACTTTAAGACTATATAAAAATACATATATACATATTTAATATATATAAAATAATGTATTATATTACATTATTGCCTCTGCATTGGATTATTTTTGGATAGGGTAATAACTTCATAATTAACTATGTCTGAAAGCAGAAGTCTAGGGCAAATAATTGCAAGTCTCTTCAGTAAGAATGTCACAAAATGATTTAAAAAGAAAAGCCAAATTCTGCAAAAAATAAAAAGTGACATTTTGAAAAAAAATTACATTTAAAAAATAAAAGTAAAATTCTGAGAAGAAAGTCCAATTTGAGATGCATTGTGGGACATGTAGTTTATGGGCAACGTGCTTCTGCGAAGTAGCATGTAACCGTATAATAAACATATCATATTTTTTGCAACCTAAAAAGAAGTCGCGGACCGGATTTGGCCCCCGGGCCTTGAGTTTGAAACCCCTGGTTTATATCATCCACTGACACTAATCTATGTGTAAGGGACTTTGCACCAGCAAAGGCAGTATGAAGAAGTTATCGAAAAACAAGGATGTAAACAAAGCTTATATATAGTCTGTTTTATAGTCTGTTTAAGGTCAGCACAGATCATACTGGTAGTTATCAGGAAACTCCACATGTGACCATTAGATTGACAGAAATCTTTTATGAGATATTTTGTAAATAACTAATAGATTAGAGAGGCTTAACAATGTAAAAACAGAGGGTTCTGCCTGTTGAATGGCTGCCTCTAATGTCATTACTAAAACTAAAGAAAAATAAATGGCTTTGTACCGTTACAGAAGTGTTTCTATTACCCTCCAAAACAGGGTGAGAGACCTCAGGGTGTTCCTGCTCAGGGAATTTGAATAGGGCTGTGCCTTATTCAAACTTTTTTTATGCACCCTTGAAAATGTGATTATTTTACTAAGTACCTGAAGACCTGCTGAAAAAGAGTGTCACGCAAACACAAGACTGCTTTGAAAATAAACACATTGCCCTGTTATGGTTGGAAATGGATGTATGTTGATTGTGTGTGTCTACAGGTAACCAGTGCTTTAGCGAGGTGGTGGCAGCAGAAGTTGTCAAATCAAATCACTGTCCCCCAAATTGGATTGGAAAAACTAACCTGAACCCAATCTACAACCGAGGTGACTGAAACTCCCAACTCTGACAAAACACGAAAAGAGTAATGCATACCTAAACCAGATTATAGTCCAATCATGTGCTCACGCTAATAAAAATGCGACCACTTGTGAAACTCATGATTAAGTCCTGTGAGTCAAAGGGAACCAAATCCTCCACATCCTCCATAGGATTGAGAGTATTCATTAACACTCTCTTCTGATCTGCAGGAACCCTCATGTGAATATGATCAATTAACTTCTTTACCTGTCCCACTTGATTAATACATCCATTCCGGCAGATTGCACACACATTCATTTAGATCTGAAGAAGACATGTCAGTCTTTACCTGATCAATGACAAGCAGAACGGTCGCAAATAAAAACCTCATCAAACTGCCAATCACCTGAAAACCAATCAGCAACAATCAACTATAGCACGTGGGTTAGCAATGCTGCGGACACATTGCATCTGCTTCCCATTGACAGCTAATTTTCCCATTTATCTTTTTTTGCTACACTGCAGTGAATAGTCCTGATCATGTGTTGGCCTGTGTGTGAAAATATAATTATATTTAAATATCTTAATTCTAGCTCTGAGATACATTAATGTAGCTTTTCTTTTATCTGTGAACATGCTCGTGGCCCACTGCTGCAGAATCCGGAGTTCAACAAAAGCTGCTCTTGCTGTTACAACGTCTTCATTAAACCTGCTGAGATTCACTCTCATATGCATTCATCCCAACAAATCACCCACATTCCGAGGGATTAAATAATGCTGCTGAAATAATACACCAAGAAGTTAAAGCTGCTTTGTCATAACTCCAACAATCGTTATACAGCAACTACAGCTAAATGCTTAATTATAATTCCCTAGATTAGATTAAGCGCTTGGCTTGCAAAAACGCAGAAGAGGCCTCTTAAAAAACATATTGCCAGAATACCTCTTTGTGATGAAGCAAAGACTATTGCAACACTGGTGCACATCTAAAGCTGCAGAGCCCCTGGGATATTTCAAATGCTTTTATTATTGAGGAATTTATAATATTTTACATGTAAGGAAAGAGAAAAATAAAAAAGAGATGCACAGTGGACAACAGTCTTTATCTATCTTACTGAAGTCTTTCCTTTTCAGATAGTTATAGCACACAACCTCACATTCTATTGCCTTATCAGGAGCTATTTCTATACAAATGGAGCACAGGCACTTGTGTTTGTGTCAGTGTTGTCAAGGAGGAACATCCGTTCCTGGACAGGAGCATGACTCTCTCCTTTCTTATCGGGCTGAGAGAGGTGACAGACAAGAACAGATTACTCCGATATCCGGGGGTGGGGAGAGAGCGAGGGATGAAAGCGCATGAAAGAGAAAAAGAACCGATATCTGAAACAGCTCTCTAACCTCAGCACATCAATACTATCAAAGTACTCTAAATAATATGATGTGGGACTGTCTGTGAAATCTATAATGCAACAAACAGGGCATGACTATGAAATGTCACGTCTGTAAAACTGGTGTTTGGTGAAGGAATCAATGAATGCTACCTGCCACAGGGCCTGGTGAGCGTTCAGAAAGGCAACATTTGTGATGGTGGCTGCATCGTGAGGATGAAGTGTATCCAGCAAAGTGCCAAGGTGGTTGGAGGTGGCAATAACAGCTCCACTTCTCCGAGCATTTCGATTTATAATTTTTTGATTGGTCGGAATAAATAAATGATATGTTGAGGTGAAATGTATTAATATCTTCACCAATTTTCTTACGAACCAAGAAAGTCCTCCAGTCCTTCCACAAAATGTGTGTTACCACTCCTGAGGCAGAGCAGGAGTCTTCAACTTCTTTAAAAATATGTTTACATAGTAATCAGTATTCTGGAGCAGCCTGTGGGCAGCCTCCTCACAGGATGGACACCATGGGGAAAGTTTTAGTTTCTATAAAGCTCATATTATCGCTCATTAAATAATACAATCTATGACTTCAAATCAATCTCAATATCTGCTACTTATGTAATGAATTATGAACTGCATGCTAAATAATATTGTTTATGTATAATGACAC